TAGGGGTGGTGCCGCTGCTGGTGGGCTAGTGTCTGGATTTTAAAGAAATCATTATAATAATAATAAAGAAATAATGAAACGTCTTTCATCTGGTAACAAACGTTTCCTTACACCGTCATAAAACGCTTCAGCAAATCAGTGTGAGTTGGCCTTTGTGCCAAGGCGTTTTATAAAACATGTACTGTATATGATCTAGATATACATTAATTAACCAAATCAACACGTATACCTGACCTAACACGTAAAGTAAACCTCGTACCTGTTTAGCATGGTGCAAACTACATAGATAGATAGATAGATAGATAGATAGATAGATAGATAGATAGATAGATAGATAAGAAATAATTAATCCCAAAGGAATTTTTGTGCCACATGCAAGGGAAGCCTCGCACCAGTTTATCATGGTGCAAATTGCATGCATAGACAGACAGCCAGATGTGTCCTGCTGACAGACAGACAGATGTGTCCTGCTGACAGCCAGCCAGACAGATGTGTCCTGCTGACAGACAGACAGACAGACAGATGTGTCCTGCTGACAGCCAGACAGACAGATGTGTCTTGCTGACAGCCAGACAGACAGACAGATGTCTCCTGCTGACAGTCAGACAGACAGTCAGATGTGTCTTGGTGACAGACAGACAGATGTGTCTTGCTGACAGACAGACATACAGACAGATGTGTCTTGCTGACAGACAGACATACAGACAGATGTGTCTTGCTGACAGACAGACAGACAGACAGACAGACGTGTCTTGCTGACAGACAGACAGACAGTCAGATGTGTCTTGCTGACAGACAGACAGACAGACAGATGTGTCTTGCTGACAGACAGACAGACAGATGTGTCTTGCTGACAGACAGACAGACAGTCAGATGTGTCTTGCTGACAGACAGACAGACAGACAGAGTAATGACCGAGAAGAGAAAGTATCTTTAATGTTACTATAATGGTTCGATGGTATAATGGAGATTGAATTGTACTGTGCTACTGCAATTCATTAACATTAAAACAGTAAAATAACTAAATAACTGTAATCATACATTTCTATAAAACTGGATATTTGTCGCTGAAGCTGCACGAAAGCACGCGCACTCAAACAATCCATTCCCTCATTCAAGGCTCCTGCAGGAACCTTGGTTTCCCTGGCAACGAGGAAGCGTCATGGCGGACAAATCCATTTCTCTCCTGTGGGTAGGAACACAAATGAAAGAGCCTAAAACTTATCGAGGGTCTATTTGGAGACATATCTACGCATAGGTACTGTCAATTTAATTTATATATTGAGCATATAGTTGTTTAATAAAGGCAATGACAGAGCGCAAATGCCGTTATTAGTTGTCCTAATATTGCAATGTTCTACCCCGAATGGTTGGGTCCAGTCTCCGGCTGTTTGAGTGAACATGGCGGCTCGTTGCTCAGTACAAATTGTTATATGATTATAACCTTACTTTGCCAAGCATCTTACTGATTTCACTGTTTTATCGTATTTACTTGTGTGCTTACTGTATATATATACACACTCATACACACCGATAAATATGTCGGATTCGGAGGAAGAGAGCCAGGAGCGGCAGCTGAAGATGGTGTTAATCGGAGACGGAGCTTCGGGAAAGGTGAGGGGGGATTTACAGCGGCTTTGGCTGGCGTGCTAAGTGCTAATGCAGCCTTAGCTAATCTGCGTGCTTTCCTATATTAGTGTGCAGTTATATATTATAAAATGTGCAGATGAAGACGGGAATTCCTTTGCCTGGATTAAAAAAGATTTATCTAATCTACATGATGCACCATGTCCCCCTATTTAGCTGTTAAAACATGTATTTTAGCAATATGGGCCAGAAGCAGATGAACCCGAATCAGAATCACATTTACCAGATATGTGGAAGTACACAGACATGTAACATGGCACAACAGTGAAAGAACATATAATGTGCAAACAAGCAACAGTGTGTAAACATACAGAGATACACACCTACCAGAGTGCAGATTTAATTACAGCACGATAAGCACAACAAAATACAATTCAATACAACATCCACATACAACACTATATGGGGAAAGATATAAAGGGAATATATATAAAGGGAAAGTTCTACTGACCAGAGTAAAGTTGTAAAATTGTCTAAGTAATATCAGTACCAGATTAACTAGCTGGTCAATTAATCTATAAAATATGATAAAGTTGTTAAAAAGGATCATGACAGATTCCATTTAATTATAACGGATAATGCAGCAGCTACAGGTTAATGAACAAGAGGTCTACCTTTTACATTACAGGTGCACGTCAACGGTGACTGTTTAGAATTTTTACGGTTATTTCGTCAAAGTCTAGCCACATTTCTGTTTGTTTCTGTGTCTTAAAAAAAACACACGAGGTAGCGCTACTCAGCATGTCCATGCACACACTACTTTGTTAAACATTGTTTGTATACAAATGCTACATGCAGTTTCTACTAAGAGACCAAATGGTTGGAAAAGAATTGATTTCAGTTTCTACTGCCAGGTGTTGCCTAGATTTTTCAGGGGAAAGTAGCTAATGCATGCTCAATGTCGCCAGATATCAGTGGAAGTTGCCAGATGATGGTGTAATTATGATGTCATAATTTCATATTCATTCAATCATGGTCATTTGCATTAAAATGTTATAAGAAATTGAAAGATTTTCTGAAGACACCCACAATAGAATAGAATAGAGTAGAAAAGAATAGACTTTTATAGAAAAAAAGGCTTTGGTCATGGCACCACAAACTATTCATTTACATATTTACAAAATGCTGTAATCTCTATCAAGCACGTGGGTGGTTTGTAGTAATGGTAAACAGCACTTGGTCTTTGGGAACAATGGTGATCAGTGATTGGTCTTTGGGAAAAATGGTGATTGGTGATTTGGTTGTTGTGAACAATTGTGATCAGTGGTGGTCAGCGATTGGTTGTTGTGAACAGTGGCGATCAGTGATTTGGTCATTGAGAACAATGGAGATCAGTGATTGGTCTTTGGGAACAATGGAGATCAGTGATTGGTCTTTGGGAGCAATGGTGATCAGTGATTGGTCTTTGGGAGCAATGGTGATCAGTGATTGGTCTTTGGGAGCAATGGTGATCAGTGATTGGTCTTTGGGAGCAATGGTGATCAGTGATTGGTCTTTGGGAGCAATGGTGATCAGTGATTGGTCTTTGGGA